AGTGTGAATATGTGTCTGTATGCACACATATACACATGGATGTATGTAAACTTTCTCAATTGACCCATACTGTACAAGCACACCCACACAGTCATGTAGTCACTTTCTTCCTTACTGTAACAGTGTCTCCATCAGGGGAAGATGGTCAAACATCATTCCAGATTTCACCTCCTGCCCCCATTCTCTTCTCTGTTTACAACTAGATGGCTTGAAATCATAGTCATTCAGGTTCCCGCTTCTCCCAAACATGCCGTGGAGCATGAACAGGCCGGAAATGACAAATGTTACCAGCTTAGGTTTCACCTCTCTCTGTGCCCCTTGCTCTTCCTCTCTGGTGTGTATTCTGTAGCGTAAGTGAAGCAATCGAAAGTGAGGGTGGGAGCATGGACAATTCTTATCATAAATAATCAGCTACAATATAAGGGCTAACATCTAGTGTTCAAAAACATACTCTCCCAGAGTGTGTCTCCCTCTCTCTCTCTCTCTCTCTCTCTCTCTCTCTCTCTCTCTCTCTCTCTCTCTCTCTCTCTCTCACACACACACACACACACACACACACACACACACACACATCCATTTTTAATCTCAGGGATTGGTTAATTCTAGAAAAGTAAAAATTAGTTCAGGATAAAGTCTAGCCCCTTTTTTGACATTGGAGGATCCCAAACCATGCCCCTCCTCTTCCCAGCTTCATTCTGGCCCACTGGCCCACTGGCCTCCCAGTCTTACCTGCCATATCCCTCTCACTTCCCATGCCTCCCTCCTGATGCTCTACGGCCCGGATTGCTCTTCTCTTCTCCCCATCCCTCCTTCTTCTGCCCGGAAATCTCTGCTGTGAGGACCCAAGTCCAGTGATGCTCCCGCCAGACAGGTCTGAGTCAGTAACCTCATCTGTGACCTCATCACATGGGTACACAGCCATCCCTACCATGAATCAGCGAATGTGGCCTGGGAGGAAGGATGGAAAGAGGGTTGGAGGGAGCTCAGCACTACTCTGTTCTTTCTTCCCAGCTGCTCAGTAAAACCAGGCCTGATGGGCTGTATTCTCAGCCACACCTGAGAGGTAGACTTTTCAAGCGGGGAGGAGAGGGGCATGGTGCCACCCACTGAGTCCTCTGCCATCGCTCCGGCAGGGCTAGTTCCATAGTGAGGCACTGGGTCCCTTCCTTGAAGCAGCCCTTTCAAAATACTTCCTGGGTGGGGGGTGGGGGAGGTCATAAAATTTATGGACCTTGTCAGACTTTTTAAAAATTTATACAACAGCAAGTTGAGAGGACTCAGAGGATGGAGTGTAGAAATGAATTTTTCATTCATTCTCTAGGAAGAGAGCTATTTTAAATTTTCCAAGCATGATGCATGTTCTCCTTCTTCCATAAATCAGCTCCGTTCTAGGGGATGTTAGGTCTATATATTGATCGCCATGGACCAGCATCCCTTAAGGCTCCGCTCCATGCATCAGCGGGTAATTTCCAGGGAAGGGTGTTCACGGAGACTGGTTAGCCAGCTCTCCTGGAGTTGTTAGCAGACACCATGCTCAGGCCCAGGCCAGAGGCCGCTCTTCTGCAGAGGCCACTCCTGGGACCATAAGACTCGGTGGTATCTGCTCTGCTGGCCTCCCCAGTGCCAGCCGGCCCCTGTCCTTTCCGAGTGGCCCTACAAGAGCAACAAAGGGAAGGCCAGAGCTGGGTACCACACATCAGACTGGGCACTGTCCTCACTGAGAGAGAGGGGGTCTAGGACCCAGGGCCCCATCCTAAAGGTCCGGCAAAGACTGGACAGGGAGTGGGTGTTGCAAGTTGCAGGAAGGATGCCGCTGAATCTTCTTCAGCACAGAATCTCCCACTCGCATTCTTCACGTCATCAGAAGGCTTGAAATTGCACCAATTAGAGATTAACTAGGGAGATGGTTGCATTGAGTCATTCACACATTGGAGTCCGTTAGATTCCCTCGATTTTTTTTTCCCTTTACGCATTATTTTTCTCTCAACACGGAAACCCCTCCACCCTCCACCCCCAAAAAGGAGTTTTGGAAGCAGGCAGAGAGACGTAGGGAACGTTGGCCTTGGAGACCAGGCATTGAGCAGGAAAAGGTGGGACCAGGAAGGCCTCAGGCAGACACAATGAGCAGGGAGCTCAGTGCATGAGGAGCAGGGAGAGGACGGTGAGGAAGGCCAGGCACCTTGCCCAGAGGGGTAGGGGTGACCCACGAGCAGGCTGTACCGGAGAGCCCGAGGGAACAGGTGTGATCAGGGCTGCTGAGTAGGACAGCCATTAAAATACTGAGATGGAGCCCATAGCCTCAGAGCTGAAATGTCCCAGAATTTCGGAACCTTCCAGTTTTAGAAATACAATCCCCTGCAGTCCGTTATGAAACAACACAGGTTGTCCTGCCACCCTGGGTGCGCACGCAGCTCCCCATGACCCGGCCAGGGAAGGTGGTTGCCTGGCCCAGCAGGAGGCCCTATGTCCTGGCCCCACACAGCTTGCTGGTGAGTCTGCATGCTGTGCCTTCTGCCTTCAAGGTGCTCACCTCCCTACCTTTGCGAAGCTGGAGAGAAGCGTGTGCTGGTGGGTCACAGGGCCCACAAGCCTGAGCAGCAGCTGTGGTGCCAGTTATTGCCCCTAAGCCTCAGTTTGCTAACCTGAAAAATGGGAATAATCTCTCTCATGCGGCTGTGAGGAGGATCCATGGAAGTAGTTGGGGTCGACTGCAAATTGTTCTTTGAATATAAGCTACCATCATTCATAACACTGATTATCAGGAAAATGAAACCAAAAAAAGTATGGAAAGGTGCTTTGCTTTGTAAATCATACACAAAGCGGAGTTGTATTGTGACTGTGAACCTCCTACCCCTGGGGAGGGCCAAGAGGGTAGCCCATGCTGCGTAGCTAAGGAGCCCCCTCCCTTCACCCTCTGCCAGCTGCGTCTCCAGCCCCTCTTCCCCGCTGTGGCTGGTTCCTTAGTGAAGAGGACAGATAAGGAGGCCAAGGAGCACTTGACATGGATGCACCGGAGGGACTGACGGGGAGGCAGTCCTCGAGACAGCTGATCCCCATCTGCCTCCATTAGCCCATCCAGGCCCCTGCAGTTCAGGGCTATCAGAGCAGCTGGGCTCAGGCACCTGCCCAGACACTCTGCCTTCCCCTCCTGGGCTCTGGCAGCCACATCTGCGCATTTAGAGGAAAGATGCCTCCTGCAGCGGCCCAGACAGGATCCGTGATAGACACGAAAACCCTTGACCTCTGGCAAAGCACAGCCCCACCGTGAGGCCATCTATTCGTGGCCTGGGAGGCGAGGAGATGCCGTGGTAGCTCAGGAGCAGAAGTTTCGTGGTCATGAGATTGGGCTGCCAAGTTTGCTGGGGCCCGCAGGCTGCCAAGCATCGCACACCGGCAAATGCCTCGTCCTTGGGCCCGGAGAGACCATCCCAGGTACGGCGGAGAGGGAGCCCGAGGCGTCCTTGGCCGTGGGGCGTCTCATGCTTTCTCTCCTGTCCTCTGTGCTGTTGTGCTGCGTTTCGTAATTCCGGGTTGTTCTCCATGTGCAGATTTGACTTGTGTGTGTGGCGCTGAGCCCTGGAAAGCTAACAGCATGGCATTGTACAGGGCCGATGTTGTGTGTTGTAACTGCAAGAGGCTGAACCCACAGCACAGACCTAATGGAATATTCCAGAGCACTGCTCTCGGGGTGCACGCCTCGGGGTTTGGGTGAGTTGGTGGTGAACCTCTGGGCCGTGAGTGGCAGAGCCCTCACTCTCCCCACCAACCGGACCCCAGGCTGAACCGAAATGTGTGGGAACTCCTAATCCGCTGTGTATGCCCCGAGGGTCTCCTTGCATTTTTTAAAAAGTTATTACACAATGTTTTAATAGACAGGCTCTGCATGCCAGGTAGTGGATTTGAAACAGATTGGACTTTATTTGCTCACATTTGGGGGATTTTTTTTGTGTGTGTGTTTTTTAATTTCTTTATTGGTTATGGTGTCACCTAATTGTCCTCATCCTCCCATTCCTATCCTAAACCCCTCCCTATGTATGCCCACCCCCCTGTTGTCCATGACCACTGGTTAGGCTTATATGCATGCACACAAGTTCTTTGGTTGGTATCTCTCCTTTGCCCCTACCCAGTGACTGACTTCCTTTGTAGAGAAATTAAATTTAAAGAGACCTCACTATAGAGACAAAAGCTGGGAGATTCGAGGTGTGACTGTTTAATAATGGTTTCCTGCTGAGGACTGGGGTGCAGAGATCCATGGTTTTTTGTTGTTTTCTACTTCTTTCTTCACTCATCCTAAATCTTCCTATTCTTCCTGCTGGGATACTGCTCCTGTGTAGACCCAAAGAGAGACACTTCAGACAGGGAAACAGCAGCCCCGAGTTAGAGACTCAGACTGCGTTTTCTCCTCTTCCCCACTGGAACCCCCAAACCACTGAGCAGTTTGATGAAGTCAACTTTTCCTGTAAAATCGAGATTTTAAAACATGCCTTGTCTGATGCTTACTATGAGGCTTATTGCATGTGTGACTTAACTCTACATCATCCTGGACAGATAAGGCCAGGACAGACAGGTTGAAAATCTAGGAAGTACAAATCAGACCCAGCCCCCAAAAGTCTCCGAGTTTTTACTTACAACTTTCTCCTTAGGAGTCTTTTCGTTCCACATAGCACTTCCTTCAAGGAAAAAAAATAGTCACGCCCTGTCATTTCCGCTGCTTAACAGTAGCTTCATTCCCCGGGGACACATCTCAGAGAGTATGGAAAGGTGCTCTCCTGGTGTTCTTAGCTTTCCAGATACAACCAGAAGCTCAGAGAATGCAATAAGGTCCTCCATTTCCTGCACCTGCAACTCAGGTTTAGGATACCCATCTCAACAACCTCGGATTTCCTGCAGCTTTGAAATGTCACTGTGACTGTTTTTAACATTTGACTGAGGCCCTGGGGATGGGTGGCATTTGGGGTGTTCTCAGGAAAGCACATTAACGGCTCGCCTTGTCTCTCCAGACCCAGGGGGCAGGCTCTCCTCGCTCCTCCCCCAGCCACACCATCAGCAGGCCCATCCCCATGCCCATGCGGTCCGTGTCTGCCTGCTCCACCCCGGCCCACACGCCTCAGGACTCCCTCACAGGGGTAGGGGGAGACGTGCAGGAGGCGTTTGCACAAAGTAAGTGGCTTTATTTTCCGTTGTGTTCTGCTTTGATGTGACAGACAAGTCACCGAGGTCCTCTGAATGGTCTAAAGCCGGTACGTTCTAGGCCCATGGTCAGCAAACCGCGGCTCGCGAGCCACATGCAGCTCTTTGGCCCCTTGAGTTTTTAGCAAAGGCCAGCTTAGGAGTACCCTAATTAAGTTAATAACAATGTACCTACCTATATAGTTTAAGTTTAAAAAATTTGGCTCTCAAGAGAAATTTCAATCGTACTGTTGTTATTTGGCGCTGTTGACTAATGAGTTTGCCAACCACTGTTGTAGGCTATTCCGTGGCGTCTGGCAGAGCCTGGCTATTTTTAGAAACTCCTGGCTAATCTGTTCCGCACCTCACCATCTTACCTTCCTGAGGTTTCTATTTATCGGCCCCATTTTTTATGTGTTTTTGCCCGTTAAGGGAAAGGAAGGCCTTTCACAAATATCTCAGGAAACTCTCCATGGAATCCGTGTTTTAAATTCTGAAAGATCTCCTTTTCTGCTTCTCTGCATGAAAGTAAACTCGAGATTGAGATGAAACAATTCAGCTCTTTAGCCTGTGATCGGAAGGAAGGGTAGTTGTTCTACAGATGCCCTTAAGAGCTGGATCTGCCTGTACAATGGGGGGCTACCCCGTTAGGCCTCTGTAGTTAATAGAGGAGCGCAAAGCTGAAGGGAGATGGCAAACAGCATTCTCACTGGTGGCCTCTTCCATTTACACACTCATGGTTGGGAAGGGGGAGGGGAGAGTGGACGAATCCCAAGGCAAGTGGTTTTACTCATTTGAAAATATTTTAACAATTTTTAAAACTTTTCTTGCCGTTACTTTTTAAATTTGGAAAAAATTGGGGCAGGGGGGGTTAAGGGGAAGGGAATCCTCCTGCAGACCCTCACCCTGCTGATCTCATTCCTAGAAGTGAACACTATTAACAGTCTGGTCCTTCTCAACTTTTCACTTACAGATAGATAGATGATGATGATAGATAGATAGATAGATAGATAGATAGATAGATAGATATGTTTAAGTGCATTTTATAGACACTGTTTTTCACACAAAGAAGCTCATGCTTATTTTGGTTCATAATGTGCATTTTCTTTAAATTGCCAATTTACCATGGCATTCTTCCAGGTTCTTACCTATGGATCTGAGGTTAAGAAAAACAGCGATATCACTTCTGGGAATTTATCCGAAGGCAAAAAGTCAGAAGATCAAAAACAAAATAGTTTTGTTTCCAACATATATGGCAGCTAAGTTTTATCATTTCCGTTAGATGTAAAGCACATAGAGATCAGTAAGAAGAAGACATCGCCAAAATAAAAATAGGTGAAGGGTATAAACAGAGAAAAATTATAAATGGTCAATAACAGTATGAAAACATGTTTAAAAAACCAATAATATCCAGATACAGAAAAGTGTGAGGAAACAGTTCCTCTCACCCACTGTGAATGGAGACAACAGCCTTACCTTTTACAAGGGGAAGAATGCTGCATTCTCTCTTATGAGGGAAAAGGAAAGATCCATAATAGGGCTTTTTCTTCTGGAAAAAAAAAATAATTTAAGTTATACACAGTAACTAGGTTTTATTTTAGTTTTCAGAAGGAAAAATGTCCTTTCCCTAAATCTTACTTTAAGGAAATTTTAAATCAGTTTGAGCTTCCTATTAGGATTACTGCTTCGTGTAACTACTTTGATTTTTTTAAATTTTCATGCATCTATCCTTCCACTAATTTAGTTGTACTTTCTGAGAAGTGACAGGAGGAAGTGTAGCCAAGCTCACAAAGAACTTGCGCTGCATACATTCATCGGTAAGTCAGATATTTGGAATCTTGGTCCCTTTTTGCCAAAGATTATGGCAATCAGCCCTCTGCTCCCTCTCAACCCTGCCTGGTCCCCAGGCCAGCCCACCGAGACCCCTCTAACCCTTAGCATGCTTGGAACATCATGCTAATATTTCTCTCCCATGAAGAAACAAGAACTAAGTTCCAGTTCTGGGTACCGGACATACATCTTGTGCACATGCCTTGCAGCCAGAGCAAGAGACAACACGCTTTTCCCTGCTGTGAGGCAGTGGTTGGCAAACTCATTAGTCCACAGAGCCAAATATCAACAGTGCAACGATTAAAATTTCTTTGAAGAGCCAAATTTTTTTAAACTTAAACTTCTTCTAATGCCACTTCTTCAAAATAGACTCGCCCAGGCCACATTTTGTGGAAGAGCCACACTCAAGGGGCCAAAGAGCCGCATGTGGCTCTCGATCCACAGTTTTCTGACCACGGCTCTGGGGCATTCAGTACAGAGGGTTCCCATTCCCACGAGGTAACTGGAAGGGGTGGGGGAGCTCAGAGAGGCCTGACTGGACACAAGGGCTGCGGTGAGAGAGATAGAATCCAGTGGGCTCGGCCACCAGGTAGTGGCTGAAATGGTCGGAGCGGCTGGAAAGGTGCAGCTCTCCTGGCAGAAGCTGGCCGTTTCCTCTGTGTGGGTTGTTCTTCCAAAGGGCCAACACACACACTGGTTTGCCTGGGACCATCCCCATGGGTGCTGGGTCACCCCGTCTTATTATTCAGACCTCCCTCATTCACTTGCAGAATTGTCCCAGTTTGGACAATACATGATATGAACCCCCATCGGTTGCCATGTGTTCCTTCGCCAGAGACCACTGCCCCGAGCACAGGTCCTTCTTCCCAGGAAATGAACCAAAGCGCGTCTGTAAAGGAGACGTCTTGGGACTTCTCTTGCTTGAGAATGGCCTTGGAAATGATAAGCAGCCTGAAATTTGGGGGAAAGGAAATGCTTTGATATATTTTTTTATTTATTTGTTGTCATTTCTTCTTCACTTAAGGTTCAAGAAGAAACTTAAGGAATGACTTGCTAGTGGCCGCGGATTCCATCACTAACACTATGTCCTCCCTCGTGAAAGAGCTGAACTCCGGTGTGTCCCTGTCCCCTCATTTGTCTGCTCTGCAGAGGAGCCCGAACGTTCTCAGGGCTCCTGGTAGAGACCTGCTCACTGTCCAACATAAAAAGATTTTCTGGAAGATCTATGTGATGTTTGGTTGCCATATTCAGGTTTTTAACTGATGTTTATAGCTGCTGACGAGCAGATTATTAATACATGCTTAATGCAGAAAGTTTAACAGTGTAGAAAAGAATAGATGAAAAACATATTTAAATGGACTTATAATTCAAGAAGCCAAAGAGAGTCACTGTGAACATCTCTCATGATGCAATGTGACAAGACACAGAAGTGATTGCATAAGGTGCAAATGTTTTATTTACTAATTCAGACTCTGTTCATTGGAAATGAATAGCTATTTGGATGGGTCTAATCTGAAATTTCCCTTTGCAGTATCTCTCAAGATAGATCTGCCCAGAGTATAAATAGCAGAAAATTGTGAGAGTCTCTTTATCCTCATAATGCTACACAGAGCTTTAAAAATGTTATTCAAACAATGAATATTCTAATAATTATCCTACCAGTTACTAATGCATCTCATCTGTTCCTCGAAGCACACATAGCAAGATATTTGACTGTCATGTGGTTGAGATTACAACAACTACAAGAAATAAAACTTCAATATTAAAAAAAAATTGGGATTTAAACTTCTTAAAATCTCTATAATAAGAATTAAAGTAATAAAAATTGTTCCTGCTATTTTAGATTAAGATTACCAAATAGGATGAAGTTGGCAGTCGTTAATATATCATGGAGATTGCTAACAATGTTATTCTTATTATAGAGGTCTCAAGTACTATTAGTTTATACTCTTACTAGAGGCCCGATGCACAAAATTCGTGCAGGAGTAGGCCCTCCTTCCCCTGGCTGCCAACACCGGCTTCCCTCCGGCACCGGCAAATACCCGGGACCCGGTCTTTCCTCGCAGCCCCGGCTTCGTCTGGAAGGTCGTCCGGTCTAATTAGCATATTATGCTTTTATAATTATAGGTAGTGCTCTGAAAAATTAAGTGAATGTAACACTTTGGGTTTGTATTTCCTACACTAAAGTAACATTAAGCAAAGGTAGCAGTTTTCCTGCAAAACAGAAGTTGTAATTTAGTAAGACACTAAAGATTCCTTATAGCATTACCGATATTTAAAAATAAAAATAAAAAAATACAATGCTGTATAGCAAATGCTTTTACAGTAACTCATGTTCAGTTTCCATGCTCAGTTGGAACTGAAATAAACACTTACTTGACTTACATACAATAACTGGTTAATACTTTATGCAGTGCAGGTTGGTTTATGTTAAGCCTCACCCTGTACCTGCTGATCACAAAGACTCTAACAAGTTACTCTCTGTTTCTTCAATTTACCTCATAGAGGTGGGGAGTGAAACGGAGAGTACTGTGGATTCTGAGTTTGCAAGGACTCAGTTTGAGGACCTTGTCCCATCGCCAACCTCGGAAAAGGCTTTTCTAGCGCAAATCCACGCCCGGAAACCCGGGTACATGCACGGCGGAGCTGCCCCAAGCACCATGCGCAGCGATGTGTGAGTACCTCCTGTTCAGGGGTATAGTCTCAGTACCGGGACACTGTCAGGAGCAAAGGAAAATGAAAACATGGTTGTTTCATTTTTTATTTTGAGAAGAGATGATGCCGCTTCCTTTTCTGACAGAAGTGGTAAAGGGACTACATTTGAATGTGGCCTTGTGACTTCCCCCCTCACAATTTCCAGAGCGTATCAGTAACCAAAACAACCAGTGCTGATTGAGAGCCTGGCTCCCCCAGGAACTGTGCTGGTTTGATACAAACTAGTATTTTTTTTAAAAAATCACTCCCAACCTTCCAGGGCTCACAGACCAGTTAGGAGGTTAGTCATCTTATCTTCAGAATCTTCTGTCTTTGCACTTGGAGGACCCAATGATGCAGGAGGCTTCTGTTCAGAATGGGATGAACAGTATCGTATAAGCACTAGGAATCGAGATATATATAGTCATGCACCACTTAATAACGGGGATATGTTCTGAGAGAGGCATTGTTAAGCGACTTAGTCATTATACAAACTACATAAAGTGCGCTTACACGAACCTAGATGACCCAGCCTACTGTACACCTAAGCTCTATGGTACAGCTGATTACTCCCAGGCCCCAAGCCTCTACAGCAGTGGTTTTCAACCATTCTAATGCCGTGACCCTTTAATACAGTTCCTCATGGTGTGGTGACCCCCAACCATAAAATTATTTTCGTTGCTACTTCATTACTGTAATTTTGCTACTGTTATGAATCATAATGTAAATGTCTGTGTTTTCTGATGGTCTTAGGTGACCCTGCTAGCAGTTCTCAACCTGTGGGTCGTGACATCAGAAAGGTCGAGAACTGCTGCTGTAGAGCCTAAGACCATCGGAAAACACAGATATTTACATTATGACTCATAACAGTAGCAAAATTACAGTTATGAAGTAGCAATGAAAATAATTTTATGGTTGGGAATCACCACAACATGAGGAACTATATTAAAGGGTCAAGGCATTAGAAAGGTTGAGAACCACTGCTCTACAGGGTGTTGCTGTAGAAAACAACATCAGGTTAAATCAAGCACAAGAGAAGTTGATGCAATTGGGAGACAAAGTAAGAAAGAGATGCTAGGGGCACGGCCGCCATAGCACAGCATACCATTTCCCAGAAAACTTCTTATAAGTAGAAAATAACACTACAACATATAGTAAATATATAAACTGGTAACACAGTCATGTATTATCATTATCAAGTATAATGTATTGTACATAACTGTATGTGCTGTACTTTCATACAACTGGCAGAGCTTACACCAGCATCACCACAAACACATGACAACAATGATGTCAGGATGCAATAAAAAATTTTCAGCTCTATTATAATCTCATTAGAGGCCCAGTGCACGAAATCAAGCACAGGTGGTTCCTCCACCTGGCCGACAATCAGGCCTGAACAGGGCCAATCAGGGCCAGCCGACTGGGTGGAGGGGCCACGGGAAGTTGGCCAACTACATGAGGTTGGCTGTGGGAGCGCACTGACTACCAGGGGCAGCACCTGCTTTGAGCATCTGCCCCCTCGTGGCCAGTGTGCATCATAGCAACTGGTCATTTGGTCAACTGGTCATAATGGTCACTTAGACTTTTATATATATAGATGGGACCACCGTCATGTGTCATGTATATGGTGGGTCCTTGTATCATATATATGGTAGGTCCTTGACCAAAGCTTCATTATATGGCATGAGACTGTAAATGTATAAAACCTCATTATAAAGAAATACAATGTGGCTGACTTGTTGAACATGTACAAATCTGACCCTTGAAAGACATTTTGCAAAGGTTTTCATGCATTTAGGCTTCTGTGCCCTGACAGAAGCCAGCAGACTCAGTGACGTCCCCACTAGACTTGCGGTGAAGCTGAGAAACGAGGGTGACACAGGCCAGAGCTGCAGAGCCCAGTGGGGGAGGGGAAAGAGGGAAACAAAGGCAGGGAAGAGGAGGGGCCTCTGAGGGCGGGGTTCCCGGGCTTGTGATAAACGTGGGCAGAGGTTCACACAAAGACAGAAAGGGAATTGCTCGCAATTCCAAACAGCTCCAGAAGGTGATGGTGCATTGGGTGAAAGGTACTGCAGACTCATCTACAAAAATCAACGGCTGTTTAAAGACCCAAAGAAGGAACTGAACAGAGGCCTTCCTGGTGTTTTTGGCTCCCGATCCAAGCAGGGAGTGGAAGACCAGTCACGATGGGGAATTATAAATAGACGTGCTGGGGAAGCCAGCAGCGGAAAGGCTGAGCATGAGAACAGAACAAATACGCTATAACGTCATTTAATGGGGCTGCTTTAATAATTTCAGTTTGCTCTCTTGTCCTTTCCTCTGTCCTTTAGAATTGTTATTCCAAATGGTGACGTCGTTAGCACCAGTTTTAGTCTAGTTAGTAAACACATACCCATGTGACTTTCTATGATTAAGCTTTTACAAGGTGGTTACTTAAATTGCTCTCATTTTGATCCTAAGATCCAAGGCTGGAGCTAAAGCCACTCCACATGACTGCCCCTGGATGCTGGTGGCGGTTCCGGCCACAGGAGTCGGGGAGAGAAAGCTCACAGAGGCCTCGCAGACCTGTTCATGCTGGACCCAAACCTCTAAAAATAATGAGAACATGCCGTACAGATATAAATAAACACTAGCCATGGCATTTAAATTCCCATCCAGAAACCTCCTTGAGCACTCTTCATTGTAGGGGGTGTTTTAATATCTGCACTATCTAAACCTGTACTGTGTTTTACCCTGAGAATATTTTAATCATATAATTTAGGGAGTAAATTTCTGACCTAAGAGCTTTATATATTGGGGGGGGGGGGGGGAGTTTGAATAGATGGAGATAGTCACACATTGGTGAATGAGGTCATTCTTATCTATTTCACAGTGAAATTGGACAATGTAAGTGGATTTCTTATATGTAGAGCTGGTATACATCTTTGAGATCAAGAGCTATGTGTTAGAGTGTTACGCTTGCTGACAGTGATTGGTTGATATTCTGAGACTTGATCCCACTATGGAAATAAAGCACATGGGCGTACACACCCACACGCGTGCGGAGCACAGAGGCGGTTAGATTAGAAACAAATGTCCTCACTCTTTATTTCACTAGAGGGCTCACTCTCCTTAGAGAAAGCGTTCTTGGATTCCACTTATAATATTTTTTTTAATCCCCATATTGGGAAAAGTATATCCTCCTGAAAGATAAGCCTGTCTTTTCTAAGACTGACAACCATCCAAAGGGCATCTCATTTCTGTAAACCCTAGAAAAACATGGATGACTGGTGATCACCAGAGTGCCATAGGAGAACTGCATGAGAATGCCTTGACCATATATTTCCCTATATTTCCAAAGGTGTGTGTGTAGTTTTTTTTTTTAAGTTTTGTGTTCCATAACAGAACACACTGAATTGAAGTGAATTGGAAGACAAATAAAATGTTCCCTCCGAAACTACAGCTCACACATGAATTTCACTTAGACTTCCCTTTTTAAGATTTGCTCCAAAACCCCATCTGTGGCTCGTTCCCAGGGTCACAGAAGATGGGGATCCCTATGTGCGGCCCGAGGAGGAGCACTACGAGAATGACTCGGTCCGGCAGCTGGAGAACGAGCTCAAGATGGAGGAGTACCTGAAGCAGAAGCTGCAGGACGAGGCCTACCAGGTACCGGGGCCAGGCCCACACCACCCCCCACTTCCGCCCAGCCCCGAGGTAACTGGGTCTTTTACATAACTAGGAAAAACCAGTGCCTTCTCCCTCCTCCCACCCTACCTTTCTGGAATATTCTTACTATACTCCTTAGTCTGTGTATTCTAGACACTAAAGATTCCAGCTACTTCTTGTAGCCATCACTCACCCTGTGTGATAACTTCTGGTCTGGAAAGTGAAGGGGGGGGGGGGGGGGCCCTTGTCACACAGCAGAAACCCGGTGACTAACAGTCCATCCCCCTCCTGGGTCATCAGCAGAGATGCTTGTTCTCTGTGATGGGAAAGAGATACAGAGATCAAGGCACAAGGCAACTGAATAAGCATAAATGCATCTCCTCATTGTCCTCAGCCTCCCTCACCCCCTACCTCATGGGAAATGTAAGTAACAAGCAAGCGACAAACCTCACCCAGGAATGTTGGGGAGTGGGGGAGGCTGCAGGCCCCAGGATCCCGAGTGTGGATGGACAGATTGTCGTATATACTGGACTGCATTCATCCACTGAGAATTCACCAAACGTAACTCATGCAGTAGCTCATCCTAAAGGGATGCGTTCTCCCCGCAGAGGCGGCGCCAGGCCGTGTTGGTCTTCCTGGTCTGTTCCCTTTCCCTGTAGTCCACCCTGTTTTCTTGGGGTTCAGGGGACTCAGGGGTGTTTGCCTGACAGACCCGCTGCTCCCCGGGCCCCAGCTGGTTATTTCACTGTCAGGCTTTCTGTCCAATGGCCAGAGAACTTTCTCCTCGTTCTTAGGTCAGCAGAGCCTCTCCTGTTAGGGAAAAGAGTAGCAGAGAGAACAAAGTGTCTTCTATTTCCCGTATGTTTATAGATTAAGGTTTGAAATATGTTCCCAAGAGGACAGCTGGAGCACTTGCCTTCCCCCCACCCCCACCCCCAACACCAGGAAGCAGCAAAGGTGTGACCTCTTTGGGATGCTCCATTCGCCCACATTTCAGGAGCAAGTAGCATGTGGGTCTTGTCACACACAAAATAGCCAAACCCATGACTAGATATGTAATGCCGTGCTACAGGGCTGCAGACACAAAGCCGCCTGCAGTCCGGACCCACCGAGAAGACTCTTTCTTTGGGTTTCCATGACCCATGCACAGGAGGAAGTCAGCCTGGGCGAAGCTGCCAGGGTGGGTCTGGGAATGTGAGGGATGCTCGCACAAAGCTTGTTTGATGCTCCTGCCTAGGAGAAGAGAGATACGGTGAAATTATCAATACTCTGTTTCATGCTAAGTCATCAATACTCTGGTTAGAGGCGCCTGGTAGGCCTCCCATCTTGGAGCTCATATCAGTGCCAGGATTTGGGTGGCAGCAGTAACCGAATTTCTAGGTTTTATTTTATCTATTTATCTATCTATCTATCTATCTATCTATCTATTTATTATTGATTTCAGAGAGGAAGGGGGAGAGAGAGAGAGAGAGAGAGAGAGAGAGAGAGAGAGAGAGAGAGAGAGAGAGAGAGAAATATTAATGATGAAAGAGAATCATCCATTACCTGCCTCCTGCACGCCCCCTACTGGGGATCGAGCCTGCAACCTGGGCACGTGCCCTGACCTAGAAAAGAACCGTGACCTTCTGGTTCATAGGTCGACACTCAACCACTGAGCCATGCTGGCTGGGCTCTAGGTTTTCTTTTAAGGGAGGCAGCCATTCCATATAACTAACTAGATTTTTGTTGTTGTTGTTTCAATGAATTAGGAATTTAACGGTGTCTGAGTAAGACAAAAGGAAATTCTGTTCATGCTTAAGATCCAGTTGGAGCTTTTGCCATCTCTGGTCAATCTTAAGCTCCTCTCTCTCTTCTTTCCTTTCCATGTCTGACAACTTCAAGGGAAAGGCAACCAAAGGGGCCAGGAGATTCTAACAGGCCGTGTGTCCCCACTCAGGACATGTGCCCTGGCGAACACTGTGGTGGTTTTCCTTGACGGCTCTGCCAGCTCATGTTTACAGATTATGGTTGTTTGGTGGCTCAGATGCTGCTGTCATTCACTGCACTCTCTGTCTCTCTTTCTCTGACTTTGTGCATGGCTTCCAACAAAATAATTCACCTGCTTGACTGCATCACAGACTTGACATGTCACCTTTCTTGTTTGTGTCCTTTGTCACCCGCAGGTCAGCTTGCAAGGTTGAATACAATATCCTTTTATCACTCTCCTCTCAAGTAAGTACCCTCTCGTTTAGGAGGAAGCGTGGCCACTGTACACTCAATTCTCATAACTTGCAACCTAAGTTCACAATCACACTCTGTTGGGCGTTTCTCTGTGAGAAAATATCCTCCTTCCCTGCTTTTGTCCAAGAACCAGTCCAGTCTATGGGGCATCCCACTACACCGTGGGGAGATTTGGCCAACGATCTTGAGAGATGACTTTTTAACTCTGTTCATTAGGGGAAATGGCACAGAAACTTCTCCAACGCCAGATAACCCCCCACCCCTCAAAGTTTTCCATGGCCACATAGCCACATCACAGTCCATAAGAGCACCTGAGTCTGAGCTCTCCATCACTTGAGAAGCAATGGTCCAGGCTCGCTCAGCACTTCCAGAGACGGATCAGCTCCTTGGACTTGGCTGTCCTCTGGGTTCAGCACGTCAGAGAGACAGGGGAGTGCCGAAACAAAGGCAAAAATAAAAATAAAATAAAAGCAGCAAAACACAGAGGAAAACATCTGCAGGCTTTTACGTTTGGAATAGCTGGTTCGAACCCTTTGTGGAATTCAGGAGAGTGCAGTCACTGATATGGCACGTGGCCCTTTCCCCCAAGGGCCTGCCCACCTGCCTGCATACATGGGAAATCCTCAAGGGATGTTTAATGGAGAGAGAGCAGCACTTGACTGGCGGCACCACTGGAGGGTGGTAGTCTGAAGCTTGGGCTCTGGACCCTAATCTACCCACGTTCAAGTGGGAGCTGCAGCAAATGCTAGCAGCACAACCTCAGACACATTAGGGGACCTCTGTGAGCCTCCACTCCCTCTGCACAACGTGCATGGTAATACCTACACCGTAGAGGACACTCCCTCACTGAGGTCCAGTTCTTACAGATCTTACCGGTGGCGGGCACACTATAACGTTGATGAACACGCGCCTACGGGCCTGGCCCTGTGCTCAGGGCCTTATACATGATTCATAGGAGCTGCTGGGGCTCAGCTGTGTGCAATGATTTCATATACCCTCAGCTCCACTGTCCCACATATCTAGATGGTTTCTCCAGCTCCAGCCAGTGACCACTTAGATGCCCCTCATCACAGATCAAAGCGAATCCCTCTCGATGTTATCTGGCTGCACTGGCCCGAGGACTCCTATCTCCTACTGTTACACAGTCTTTCCTAAGCATGGGATCTCGTGAATCTGGAGTGTAGTAAATTCTGGCTGCTAAGTTGTGAAATGACATCAATTATCAATAGTAAAGAGTACATTCTAGCTCACACACCTCCTGTCTCAGTCCTCAGGTTAAGATCGAGCAAGCAAAAATCATGGCATATTTGCTACAATGGAATATATTGACCTCATTGCATTCTGCTCTCCTGATATTATATGTACAACTACAGTGAAAAAATTCTCAGGAGCAGTTCCTGAAAATATTCGCTCCGGTTTGAACAAAACTAGTCCCAAAGGAGCAAGCTTTTTCCTTTAATAGCAGTCTCCCTCACTTAGCTCTGGCAATTTGATTATTTTTGTTCTGCGTGTTATTTAAACATCAGTAGTGCCTTCTTAGAAAAATATATCTTTTTAAAAGCCTAGTGAATTGTCCTTGATGTGAACCCAGATAAAAAGTGGCATTTGGTTCTCGTACCTAAAAGCCAAATACTTCAGTACGTGGGAAGTTCTTGGGCAATGTTTTATCTCTGCCACAAACTTGGCAGGAAAAACAAATCGCACAGCTGTGGCCTCTGCCACTGAGGGCATCCTGTGCCTACCTGGATGGCATTCACAGGGCTCTAAGCAGGAGCCGGCCTGTCAGTAAATCAACCCCTTAGGCAAGACTCGCTCACAACCTGACGGAACCCTGCAGTCTGTCTGCACGTAGCCTAGAAAGACAGCTGGGATTCTAGAGCAGCTTGTGGTATTTAAATCTATTTGACTTCCTGACTGTACTGCAAGGCCAGAAATCATACCACAGTATAGACACCGCTGACCCAAGGGTCCTAAAGGCAGCCGACTTCATCAGCTCCAAGTTCATTCGGCTGCCACTGATCAGGCCTTACGTCGGGAAAGGCCACAAGGCAGGACGCCATTGGCAGGGGAAACTCAGTCTTCTGCTCAAAAGGAGCCTGAGGCCTGTTTGAATATGAACATGCACTTATCAACACAAAAAGCCAGAATACCTGGGTGACTGCTTTTCAACCGGCCACTTGGGGAGAGATGTATACGCGGAGTGCACCACAGCTCCATGAGGCCCACTCAGACTTTGGTTTGTCCGTTGCCATCCCTCTGGCCCCATGGCATTGCACTCAGCCAGCCGGAGCCTAGCTTCAGAAATCAGGGGTTTGAAGATCAAAAGTGGATTTTTTTTGTTTGTTTTTGAGCGGAGCATTCTGCTGGTGAGTCAGTGCTCTCACCTCCTTGTCCAAAGGACAGCGGTGGGTGGCTCTAACCCCCAGGTGCTGCAGGTGCCCCCCAAGCAAGGGACTCACCAGGAGGGTTCTTGTCCTCTTCCAGAAGGCACAACTCATGGCACACACTACCAGGGACATTCATCCCCAGTTATCAGAGGAAGGGAGTAGAGGGTGTGTGTGTGTGTGTGTGTGTGTGTGTGTGTGTGTGTGTGTGTGTTGTGTCTCAGGGGAAAGGGAGGGCCCTAAGCTTCCTGACTTATGAGAACAATTTTCATCTTTAAAAAAATTACACATTCCTTATTCCCAGGCAAACTATAGTCAGACAGATGGTGAGAGTAACATGAGCGCTGGTGACGAAGGGGAGCGCTGCGCCCACCACGCCCAGAGGAGAAGCGGTCTGGCAGCGCCTGGGAGAGGAACCGCCCCACCAGCAGCTCCCGCACACCCGCCCCCAAAGACGTGCTCTGCTGACCGTAGTGCAGCTCATGATTCGTCCTCAGATGTGTAGTTCATAGGTGTGTGTGTGTTAAGAAGAAGAAAAGAAAAAGAAAAAAAGACTTCTGTTCAAAGCTAATTTATCAGCTACATCTTCTATAACATGGCTCATCCCTGGTTTAAAAAAAAAAAAAAAAAAAGAACCACAGGCCGAAAACCCACGCCGCTGTTCCTCACGGTGGCAGTATTAACAAGCATCTTCAATATCATGTGCACATGATACTGAACCTGTTCCGTTTACAGTGACACTATTAATACTGTCTGTAGCTAGGGTTTGATTTCTGAGTTCTTTGAGATTTTAGCAAACCAGTTTATTAGACGATGTACATTTTTTTCCCCCCACAGTAATTGGGACAAAACAACCGCTCACAATTATCCATTGACCCTGAAGGTCTCGGGTCCTGAGTGAGCAGGCGTGGAGGGCCTGGCCTGCCCTGTCTGCCCGGGTCTCCCCGTCCTGTGAGCGGTGCCTGGAGCCAAACACGCCAGGTTAACCCAGTCTCTGGGGCTTCTTTCCCAATTGGAGGTTGTTTTCTTTCAAGATGTTCTAGCGAATCAGCCATAGAATTTAGTGTAAATAATCTTTTTTCCAAATAGAGATCATATTCAAAATAAGACAACGTGAAAATTATATAGAATCTAGTTTTTAAAACTCAGCACAGATCTTCTTAAAACTGTGAACTATGTTTTGGAAATACTCGTTACTAAAGCTGTCTATAAACCACAGGTGCCATACGACCCCCACCCGGACCGCAGTGGTCTCTGCTCTTCCATGGCTTGTTCCTTCCTCTCGGTTTAGCTTTAGGGAGCATGTCTCACCGCACCGCTCGCCCACAGGTCCCCCCCACCCCATCAGGTTGTCCTTCCCCTCTCACTGTACAGGCTTCAAGTGCGCTTGCAAAAAAAACGTTCGTTCCTTTCCTTTCTGAATGTGTATTGCCTTCGCTGGCGCCCCAGTGTTCTGCATGCAGCCTTCTGTGGTCATGTGAAAGGAAGCAGGCTCTTCTCCATGGCAATGGGGTTTTGCACTCAGGGAAGAGCTGGTGTGTAAAAGAGCCGTCAAAGAAGGGAGAACGAAAAACTGCCGATGGTCCTTTGTGAGGACCCCTTTGGAGGAGCACTAACAACCTCCCTTAGGGATTCCTGGGAAATTTGGGGGGGGAAATAACCTACCTTTTTCAAGACATGATGAAATTAAAAGTCCTGTAATAGGTTAGGTCCATTGCGCTTACATCGGCAGCTCTCTGGAATTCCTGCCCTCCTTTCAAAGAAGGAAGAGAACGTCATTTTAGAACAGTGGTTCTCAAAGTGTGTTCCCTGGGCCGGAACAAATCAGCATCACCTGCGAGTTTATTTAGAAATGCAAATTCTTGGGCCCGAACCCAGGCCTATGAATCAGAAGCTCTGGGCGTCGGGCCCCTGCAATCTGCGTTTCCTGAAGCACACAGGTCACGCTGATGCACCCTGAAGGCTGAGAACCACTGCTGTGGGATAAAGCTGTGTAATAGTCTCTGCAAAGGCCTTATTCTGTGCCCGCCTTAAAGCTCCAGCAATTTGATTTGCTTTCCGAGCTGGCAGGAACCTCCTCCCGCCCCACACAGCCGGTGGGTGGGGGTGCCTGGCTGAGAACGGACATCCTGCCATCTCCCTGCGCCCTCTCCAGAGAGCCCGGGGATGGCCCCATCCCTGTGTTTGGTCAGAAGCCGCCTCCTTGGCTGCCCTTTAGAACAACTCACTTGCCTTGGGGTTAGTAAAGCTCTTGGGTGACGTCAGTAAGGAGCTCGTTCTAGCTATTGGTGGGCGTAACCAGACCTTCTTCCAGAGAACCAAGCTGACACCAAAGTGGCACACTGCACAGTTCTCAGATTTCTTTGCACAGGTGGGTTTCATGGCGGGTTTTGTCCATGCCTCTTCACGTTCATCTCCTCTCCACTGCCCATCTCCTGTGAAGCCGTACCTCTCTAGATGGAGCAGATGGTCCCTGCTGCCTCATACTCAGTACTTAAAACTACTCCATCCCAGCTACCTGCATTGCTGTCAGCTCTCCATCACAGCCAGGTAGTTCTTGAACTCTGAACTGTGACCCTGCGGGTGGCGGGCAGCCACCGACTGGACTGAGCTGGCATCTGTTGTCCTTTGTGTTTCTACACGAGAATGTTTGTCTAGGGTTTGAACCCTCTTGCTGATAATCATCCCCCTTGTCGTCATTTTCATTGCCAACTCCATCATGCGGTTGTTGATCCCATCGTACAAAGCCATTGTGAGGACTCTACAAACCGCTGCCCATGACCAGTTCCTGACTAACCAGCCACCTTTTCTTTCTCTTAGCTCTGCGTCAGCACTGAGACCAGACTCAAGCACCCCTGTCCTGTAACCGAGACAAAATGGCGTGTGTTGTTTTGGTTTTTGGTGGTTTTTGGTGGGTTTCTCTCCTTGGTTCTCCAGATTTACTTCTGGGGCCTGTTCTGAGAGCAAACCCAGCAGGTCTTACCTGTCCTGTGCATCAGATACAATTATATCTCGCGGGGGTGTTTCTTGTTCCACATGAATTGCACATCCATCTCCATCAGAAATGATGGCCTATATGAGCACTGGTCTAACACAGCCAACCCTCCCCCACAGCGCCATGTTCATGGAGGGAGGGGGGAGGGGGAAGTCTACTGTAAGGAATTCAGGAATCAGTTGTGGTTGGTCAGGACGGAAGTCGGGGTACGTTTGGTTGGTCAGAGGGAGATGTGCTGGAGATTGTGAAAAATGGATTCTCGGATGATAAGGCAGGGAAGGTTCATTTGTAAGTAGTAATGTGAACTTAATTGCATAAGAGTGTGGCCTTCGTTGTGATATACTATGTATTTTCTTATATGCATGAGCCAAACGGTTGCATCATAATTTAGCACTGATGTCCGCCTTTATTTTGATCATCTTTGTCCACCCTTATTAGTTCTTGGCTGTTCACTGTAGATAAACATTGTAAATATGGCAACTTTTAGTTGCTGCAATCACCTTGGTTCGATTCCACGCAAGGAGCCACAAACAAGAACTCCACTGTGTCCTCAGAAGAAAGGGCATTTTTACTTTTGAACCAAAAAGAGAAAAATAAAATCAGAAGCGTCATATCTTGAGACTAATTAACTGTAAGACATTTTTAATTAAGACTACTGTAATTTGACTCCATTTGAAGTAACCAATACAGAGACCCTAAAGATTTCATGATATTCATTGGTATTGTAACAAAACTACTATTGTATGGGTTTTTTGTATTGCTGTTAAGTATTGTTTTGTTTTTGTTGTGTGTGTGTGTGTGTGAGTGGGTGTGTGTGGGTGTGTGTCGGAACCTCCTGGGGACATGTTATATTTTGAAGTGATTAAACTATTTAATTGTGTGTCTATATTTTGGAATGGAATTATTTCTTCATTAAAAAATGTTTTTAAAAACACTATATCTTGGATATGTTATTCCTTTGTTTCAATGAATCTTTCCTAAAGTAACATGAAGTCAGTCTGTTCAAAGGAAAAAGGCAAGTCATTTCTTGTTGTGTGACGCAGGACCTATCGATTGAGTATTAAGCATCTCAGGTAAAATATCTCACCTTTGGAGCTATGATTTTTTTTTTTAATGGAAAACCTTGTTACAGTCAATATGGAGGTGGATCTGCAATGCTAATAGCTAACATAAGCTTACTTTACATCAGACATTGTTATGAGATTTGCACTTTATATTACTTTTCTTGATCCTCTGAATTTGCAGCATCTAATCAGGTAGTTAGCAAATATTACACATGCTTACTTGTTCAGTGGGTAAATAAGTACATTAGTGACTTTTGTTTTGTTTGTGCTAGAGCTAGTGAGAAAGGAGAATGAGCACTGACATGGTCATCAATATGGTGACAGCAACAAGACACAAGAGTTGGAGGAAGGGACGGACACTCAGAGCGTTGCCACTCCCTTCATTCTCATTTTTCCTCTGAGACCTCTGATTCCCATGCAATGGAGTGTTGTGTGTTTTCTTTGATCGGGAAGCCAATTCCTTTACAGAACCATTAGCAGAGCCTGAGTCTGGCTGCAACACTTCGTGAATTGCATTCTGGGCACCTCAGACTTGGAGTGGGGCTGCCAGTCTGTGCTCATGGAGTCTGGGGTTGATCTGAAGTCCATGAAAATGCTGTAAACCCTCAAGAGCCCCCAGAGAAAGAAGCCGGGAGGTTCTGCATCAATTACAGGAGAAAATCCTGACGTGATATCACCACTAGATGAAACACATATCCCCCTTCGCTTTGGGGGTGAGAGACAAGGGCGTGTCCATTGGTGCCTGTCAGTTTCCTTTAGCTCCATCTCAGTACCTCATCCCGTCATCCCTTAAGGAGCACATTTAGCTCTTCTCTCCCTCTCTTAGTATTGCTCGACTTTATCTAATTGCAAAAGTCACCTGAGGATTGGAAAATTCGGATGTAGCAGGTCTAAAGCCGTGGTCGGCAAACTGCAGCTCGCAAGCCACATGTGGCTCTTTGGCCCCTTGAGGGTGGCTCTTCCACAAAATACCACGGCCTGGGCAAGTCTATTTTGAAGAAGTGGCATTAGAAGAAGTTTAAGCTTAAAAATTTTGGCTCTCCAAATAAATTTCAATTGTTGTCCTGTTGATATTTGGCTCTGTTGACTGATGAGTTTGTCGACCACTGGTCTAGAGTATGGCCAAGGAATCTGTATTTTTAGTAAGTGCTTCAGTGATATTTACGGTTTGACAAGTTTTAGGAAATACTGGTCTCTTGCTACTCAAAATGTGGTCCAGGGACCAACAGCACTAGCATCGCCTGGAAGCGAGTGACAAATGCAGGATCCCAGGCCTAAAACCAAACCTACTAAATCAGAGTCTGCATGGCATCAAGACCCCCAGGGGATGTGTGTGCGCCTTGTGAAGAAGCTCCGGCCTGGGGTCCAGCTTTAATCCTAGTCCTCCAGGATTAGGTCCAGTTGGATCCTCAGGGGATCGAATGACAAGCCAGGGATGCTATTTCAGCGAGGATGGTGCAGTGCTTCTTGAACTTGTAGTTCCGATTTAGTGACTCTGGAGTGGGTGAGGCCCAAGATCTGCATTTCAAACAAGTTCTCAGGAAAGCTGAGACGTGCAGCACGGACACGGTGCGGGCAGCTGGCTCCCCTCTTCCAGAGGAGGCGCCCCTCCGCTCGATGCCTCACTCAGACACGAGAGGCCGCCCACGTGTTCGGCCCTCCCACCAGCCTCAGCCACAGCCAACCGCGCTGCTCCTTGAGGTCTCGCTGCCTCCGCGTGGTCTCGCGAGACACCATCTCGCGAGAGGCCGAGGCTGAGGCCGCAGGTGAGAGCGGCTGTCTCTGTGCCCCGGACGCTCCAGGTCTCCCTCACGTGAAGCGTCCTTTCCGGTTCCCAGCGACCCCTCAGGTCGGTAAGGGGGCGCGGGAGGCCGCGCTGGGCGCCCTGGCAGGGCTGGGTCCCGTGCGGCCCACAACGGGGTGGAAAGGGGACTGGCTGGCTGGCTGGCTGGCTGGCTGACCGACCGACGGGCTGACTGGCTGAATGATGACTGACAGGCTAGCTGACTGATGGATAGGTTGATTGACGAACTTAGTGATGACTGACAGGCTAGGCTGACTGACTGACAGGCTAGGCTGACAAACGGACTGAGGGACTGATAGGCCGACTGGGTGGTTGTCAGGCTGACAGGCCGGCTGAATGGCTGGCTGACAGACAGACTTCCTGAGTGATCGACAGGCTTGCTGGCTGGGTGACTGGATGGCTGACAAGCTGACTGGCTGACAGGCCGACTGACAGGCTGACTGACAGGTTAACGGACAGACTGCCTGAGTGATTGACTGGCAGGCTGACTGGCTGGCTGACATTATAGTAACCAAAGGCCCTTGTAACCACATGGGACCCACAGTTGTCCTTGTTTATGTCATCAACAAACGTGGCCCTTTTGGAGTTTTATGTTTGAATTATGCTGTGTCTGGCTGAAAGAGGTAATTTGCAAACACAAGGAAGAGGGCTTTAAGATTATGTTTGGATGCTGGACCCAGAGATTAGAAAATATTACTAGGATCTGAAAATTACTACCCACAGATTAGCCCAGGAGCTATCGCAGGGCGGGGGTGGGGGTGGGGGGTAAATATGTGACGACTCCTT